GCTTGATATAGAACTAATTCATTCTTATGCAATATACAACTTGTGCACACGATCAAATGAGGCAAACCCTGACTCAACTTCTCAACCCGGTTACTGACGCTAAGATATGGGGTCTGGCATATACAGATCATGTTATGGAATTAATATACAGTAACGTCAAGAAGATAATGACATAGTAATACTCTACAATGAATTTTGGGATGGTTCTATAAAAAATGAATGAAAGGGAAATAAAATTTAGAGAGCGATGCAGCCGCAACTTTAAAGACCCAATACCTGACTGTCATCATTATTTTGTGAAGTCTATGCTTCCGCCTGATAATTATAATTATCTTGGTGCAGATTACGTTCAATACGTTGGACCGACACCCTTGGTGATAGCTGTATTCTTTTGGGTGGAGCTAATCAAAAGATAAAGTTGCGTATATTATTATGGCATAAGAAAATTCTGCTATTTTAACGTCCCCCCGGGCTATGCAGAGCAGCTGAAGTTACTACGAAATATAAACGGTAACCTCTTGAACATGGCGAAGGACATGAATGTGCATATTCAAACGCACAGTATAAAGCCTATATATGATGTATTGTATAATGGTTCATTACAAAATCTTGTCATGGGTGTGTTCAAGAATATGTGGCAGTATTTCCAGCCCCTCATGGGTTTTTAGGACACTTTTCAATTTCTTTACAAAGCTTCAATATATATTCTGGCTATATCATGGTCGCAAGTCATGTTGGTTAAATTTAACTCCAATTTAACATTTAGAAACTCTGATGTTAAAAGGACGGCCTTTAAAGATTTCGACCGCAGCTAACTCATGCTTGGAAAGGAAACTGTCTTCCCCCTAGACGCAACAGAGAAAGTGAGATATATGTTCAGGTGGAACTTAAGTAAAAGAGATATCAGACGTACTACAGAGTTTTTGTGTCGGTTCTGGATTCCTTTTGCTCTCATGATGTTTTCAATTAATTTTATTGAAAACAAGTTCCTAAATTATTCTCTAACTTCAGTTGAGATGATAAGAGAACTGTAAAGTAACGTAATAAGATCCATACCCGGTGTCACGAAGTTCACAGATTTTTGTAGAGCCAAATTTAAACTACAGGATACAGGTAAATTTGATCACATGAAAATAAAAATTGCTATCCTAGCCGTCCTAATTCTGATATCTTGGTTACCAGAAATAATTCTCATGAGATTCATGGAAGCCATAAACCCATCTCTGGAAAAAGAGCGTATCATTTTTCTGAGGAATAAGATATTGCACGAGAGAAATGAGAGAAAAGTAACAGAAAAGGAAATATGCGATTAATGTAAGATAACTGGTATCCCTGTCAAAAGAATGAGGCGGTTCTATACCGTATGCTCTTGCGAAACCGTTACAAATTTCTGCATTTACTGTGCGCATGACACATTCGTCAATTTGCATATCTGTTAAACGTGTCACGAACCCTATCGGATGATCGACGAGATTGAACTGGAATAATAAAAAAACAAGCAGTTGGCTTCTGCCCCAGTGCCCGACGAGCTCGCTCTTCCAGCCGATACAAATGTGACTGCAGATGTGACTGCAAATGTGACTGCAAATTCACCAACTGGGAAAAGTGTAAATTATGTCATGGGCCGTACTGAGTGATCGACAAGGTCCTCACAGGCCTTCAGAGAAGGAGGGACAAGCTGAGACATTTCAACATTTTTCTCTCTTCCTTAACTCTGGCATTTCTGTCCAACATTCTTCGGTACCGTCTTAGAAAGGAAAAACCGAGAATAAATCATCCATGTGTGTGCGATTATGGCAAGGAACAGCGAAGAACACCGAGTTGCTACACTCTATGAAAGATCGTGAAGGTTGGAGAGCCATGATCGCCCACGCCTGCCGGCATGGCACCTGATGATGATGAGGCCTTTTTAAGACTGCCGCGACGGGGAATTGAACCCGGGACCACGAGGATCGGAGTCTAGTCCTCTAACCACTGGACCATCGCGGCAGTCTATATATATATAGGAAAGGAGGGAACGTATGAGAGAGAGAGAGAGAGAGAGAGAGAGAGAGAGAGAGAGAGAGAGAGAGAGAGAGAGAGAGAGAGAGAGAGAGAGAGAGAGAGAGAGAGAGAGAGAGAAAAGAACCGGCCACCCTGCTTCATTAAACCGTCCATGTTAGCGTGTCCTGGATAGTGTGAACAAAAAACAATCTTCGACAAACGACCTTAAGGGTGCTCACGGTGAACCAAGCCAGGATACCTCGTCCGGAAAACGTAGTATGTCACGGGACTACGTTGATCGCCATCCTACAAATAGATGGCCGGTTCCTTTCTTAATAACAACAGTTACCAGCTTTGATCGGTATCGCCAGCCTTGAAGAAAAATAATTTTCCCAGCCTGCCGAAAATCCTTCCCCAAATCGTTGACCGTCA